AGGCAGCATTAGAACCAGACGTGGAACAATTGACTGGTTCAAAATTGGGAAAGGAGTACAACGAGGTTGCATATTGTCACCCTTCTTATTTAACTTATATGCAACGTACATCATGCGAAATGCCGGGCTGGACGAATCACAAATTGGAATCAAGATTGCTGGGAGAAATATCAACAACCTTAGATATGCAGATACCATTCTAAGGGCAGAAAGCCAAGAAGAACTAAAGAGCCTCTTGATGAAGGTGAAAGAGGAGAGTGAAAAGCTGGCTTAAAACTCAACATTCAGAAAACTTAAGATCATGGCATCTGGTCCCATCACTTTATGGCAAATAGAAGGGGGAAAAGTGGAAGATTTTCTCTTCTTGGGCTCCAAAATTACTGTGGATGGTGACTGCTGCAAAGAAATTAAAAGACACTTGCTCTTTGGAAGGAAAGCTATGACAAGCCTAGACAGCATATTAAAATCAGAGACATCACTTTGCCTACAAAGGTCCATACAGTCAAAGCTATGGTTTTTCCAATGGTCATGTACAATGTGAAAGCTGGGCCATAAAGAAGACTGAACACCAAAAAATTGATGCTTTTGAATTGTGGTGCTGGAGAAGATTCTTGAGAGTCCCTTGGACTGCAGGGAGATCAAACCAGTCAATCCTAGAGGAAATCAACCCGGAATATTCTTTGGAAGGACTAATACTGAAACTGAAGCTCCAATACTTTGGCCACCTGATGTGAAGAACTGACTCATTTGAAAAGACCCTGATGCTGGGAAAGATTGAAGGCCAAAGGAAAAGAAGACAGCAGAGAATGAGATGGTTAGATAGCATCACAGATTCAAAGGACATGATTTTGAGCAAAATCCAGGAGATAGTAACAGACAGGAAAGCCTGGCGTGCTGCAGTCCATGGGGTTAGAAAGAGCTGGACATGACTTAGTGACTGAACAACAATACAACACAAATTGTGTGACAGTATCAGTTATAATGCTATGATTAGTGATTTCACTGAAATATGGACAAGAAAAATAAAATTTCTGGAATAAACATACAGCTATCATGATGAAGAATGTCTGATTTTTAAAAAATCACTTAGAAACCACTGGCCCATCAGCAGAGCACAGAAGCACGCATGATAACCATTAAATTCAGTCATCTTTGCTTTTTGCCAAACTATAGCCAAATAAAATTGCAGTTTTACCCATGTTTGAAGTTATATGTATCAAGGTAGAAGGATATAATATTTTTAACTGTTCACTTATTTCATTTGTTCCTTTTGTGTATCGAGCTATGTCACCTTCTATTTGGACTCATGCCCTCAGCCCTGAACATGTTAAATTCAGGCTGGCTCTTCCTTGATGTAATTCATCAAGGTTTGAATCAGTTGTATGTATTTTAAAAATTCCTAACTGGTAGTTTAAATTCTTTGCTATTATTATAAGTAATGTATCAGTTGACATTGCATTCGGATCCTCACAAACTTGTGAGATTATGTCCATAGAATAAATACATAGATGTATAATTGCTAGGTCAAAGGGAATGCCTCTTTACAATTTAATACACATGGATAATCTGCCTTTCCAGATGGTTGCATCAAGCAGTGTATACCCTCGCCAACAGCATATGTTTCTGTACACTTTCAGAACATAGATGTCCCCATTGTTTCTAAGAGGTGAAAAGTAGGAGCTCACAGATTTAATATGAATTTCTTTTCATTAGTGAAAGATCTTACACTCACTGAAAATTCATATTTCTTTTTCTGTAAATCATCAATTAGCATCACTTTGTTGCTATTTCCCTTTTCCTTATTGATGTGTAGGGGTTCTTTATATATTGTGATTGCTAAATCTTTACCTAACACACAGAATGTATTTTTCCAGTTTGTTGACTATCTATTAACTGTGTTAATGATGTCTTTCAATGTGGAAACACATACAATTATTGTGTAATCAAATCTGTCAGTGTTTTAAAGGTTTCCAGCCTTGATGCAATTTAAAAAAATTTTTTTGTGGTTGTTGAAGAATAATTGCTTTACACAATTTTGCTGTTTTCTGTCAAACCTCAACATGAATCAGCCATAGGTATACATATATCTCCTCCCTCTTGAACCTCCCTCCCATCTCCCGCCCCATCCCACCCTTCTAGGTTGATACAGAGCCCCTGTTTGAGTTTCCTGAGACATACAGCAAATTCCCATTGACTATCTATTTTACATACAGTAACATAAATTTCCACATTACTCTCTCCATACATCTCACCCTCTCCTCCCCTCAACCTTGTTTCCTATATTTTATAAGAGCATTTAAATACAAATCCTTCTGGAATTAACTTCGATCAATTAATGACTTTATCAATTTTTGTGCCAATACAATATCATTTAACTAGTATAAGTTCATAGTATATTTGATAGCAAAGCAAACCCAGTCATTATTCTTCTCTTTTTCTAAATTTATGAATTATTTTTATGTATTCACTCTTCCAGATGAACTTAAGAATCAATTTGTAAACTTCAAAAAGAACCCACTGAGATTTTAAGTGACATTTCATAAACTAATGTTAATCTGGGATAAAAGGCTTATTTATAAGAACGAGTGTTTCCAGCAAGAATATGATATATTTCTCATTTTTTAAGCTATTTTAAGTTAAGTTATTTTTAAAGTTATTTTCTTAGTTCATTCAATAGCATTTGATAATGTTTTTATGCCATTCTCCCACATTTCGAGCTTTTGCTAATTTCCGGCAACTAGTTACATTTGCAAATAGAATTTTTGCTTATTCTAAATGCATAAGAAAACTGTTGATTTTTGTCTTATACAGCCACTTTATTGAACTATCACTTAGTATATTCTCTTTTGATTAACTTAGATTTTCTAGATTTACAATAATACTGAAATCAATAATGAAATTTTTTGGCTCTTATTAACACTTGTGATGTTTATTTCCTATTTACTGTTCTTGCAGTATTTCTTTAGCTAAACCTCAACAAGGACAACAGTATTGGAGGGACTTGATGCAGCCAGTGCAGCTCTCTTATTGTTCTTTCTGATGATGAGTATTTATCTGTGATATTGTTTGTGTTAAGAAATTTTCTTCTATCTTTATTATACTAAAGCTTTCTAACTAACTGCTTTCAGTTCTGGATATTTAACTTTGTAACATGAAGTTTTAGACCCTGACAAGATGGCCATATCTGTTTTTCTCTTCTAGCCTATTGAGAAAATAAGATATATCACATTAAGAAATTAATAAATCTTCTAATGATGAAATAAGCTTCCATAATTATTCTTAGAATAAGGCCTCATTGAATATGACTTGTTTTTCCTTTAATATATTGATGCATTTGATTTGTTAATATTTTTCTCGGGAATTTTTACATCTCTAGTCAAGTGAAATTAGTCTCTTTTTTCCCTTCAAGATACTTTGTCAAGTTTCATTATGAGTCAGAAAAATGAGGTTGAAGATATTCCATATTTGTTATGCTCTGGAGAATTGTGTGTGATCTGAGTATTATCTTTTTGCTACACTCACTAAGGAATTGCCCACAAAACTATCCAGACCTGGTGCCTTTTTGGTAAACCTCAAGGAGAAGGGCGATTTATTGTCTTATTTTTTTGCATATTCTTGAGTCAGTTTTGGATATTTTCAGATTTCCAGAGCGAGGAAAACCATTCCATCTAGATTTTCAGATTTATTGAAATCATGCTGCATATAATATTTCCTGAACATTTTTAATATGCAATTTTAAAACACTTGTGGTTATGCATTGTGGTAGGCTGAATAAAATCCCCTCACAAGGAATCCATGTCCTAAACCCCAGAAACCATATGTGTCAACCTGTAAGGAAAAAAGGACTTATAGATGCGATTAAGTTAAGGATCTTGAAATGGGGAGCATATCATGGATTAACCAAGTGACTCCTACATGTAATCACAGAAGTCCTTGTGAAAAGGGGAGACACAGGAAAGCCACGGAAGGAAGTGGGGGATGTGATGACAGAAGCAAATGTGAGGGTGATGGAAGGAAGAGGTCAGGAGACAAGGAATGCCGGGAGCCTCCAGAATCCAGAGGAGGCGAGGAAACACTCGTCCACGTAGGCGCCAAAAGCAGCCAGCCCTGCCCACACCGCGACCCTGGCTCAGTGAAACTGACTCATAACTTCAAGAGAATAGATTGGGGCGTTGTTCTGTTTTGTTTTGGCCACCAGCCTGGCATGTGGGTTCCTAGTTCCCCAACCAAGGATCAAATCCACATCCCCTGTGTTGGAATCCAGAAGTCTCAACCACTGGACCACAGGGAAGTTCCTAGATTTGTGTTGCCACCAAGGTTACACTACTCACAGAAAACTAAAACGTGAAATCTTCTTATCAGGTTCAACCTTTTTCCTTGGGGTTGGGGCTATTTTTTAATTTATTTTTAATTGGAGGGAATTGCTTGACAACGTTGTGTTGGCTTCTGCCATGTAACAGTGAATCAGCTCTAAGTATACATATATCCTCTCCCTCTTGAACCTCACTCCTACCCAACCCCATCAGAGGGTGGGAATATTTTTAAAGAACTCATTCTTTTTTTCTCTCTCTCTCTAATTCATTCATTTCTGCTTTTATATTTGCCGATTCTTACCTCTTACCTTCCTTGGTTTTCTTTATTTTTATGTATTTTGCTTCTTGAATTCAATTATAAAATCACCTGCTTAATTGAGCACATGAAATGTGCTTTAAAAAGAGACTTGGCCACATCCTATAACTTTTGCAGGGTTTCAGACTTGCAATAATTTAAAATAACCTGTCCTTTCTGCTTTGATATCCTTTCGGCCCATCACTTTTTTCTAAAGTTGTTTTAGGTTTTGGAGTATTTTTTTTTTTCATCTCAAATTTTGAAAGGGTTTGGCAACTATTATTCTATTTGTAAACTCAAATTGTAACACATCAGAGAATGTGGCTATCAAACTTTCTGCTTCGGGGAAGTTATTACTCTAAAATTTCAGGTTGTGTAGATCTCTTACTGACCTTTTGAGAGAATGGGCATCTTGGTTTTGTGGGGAACATGACTCCATGTATAACTAGGAGATCACACTTTGTGAGTACGTGGTCTGTATCCTCTATGTTCTTATTTATATCCACGGCAAGCTCTGTCTTCATCCCATAGGTGTGAGGGTTTTAAGTGGGAGAGTGACAAGATAAAGGAATACTCTGAGGGTAGGAAGACAGAAAGTGGATTAAGTGACAAGTGTGGGTGCAGTGTGGACACACCACTGCCCCCTACCCCACCCTCCTGCCACACACACAGACAAAAGTGAGGAATACCCGAACCATTCCACACAGTGGTGACAGAAAGCCCAACCCTCTAAAACTATATACAGATGAGAAACCCAAGACCAGCCGCAGGATGGAAATAGCATACTCAAGTTCACACAGACTGTTGGCAACAAAGGAGAGGACTCGATCCAAGCCTCCGTGGGCCCCCTGCACGATGCCATGGCTTTGGAGGCCCCAGGAACGACGATGCAATTCTGTGTGTTTCCCCTGTCCATTCTGCAGAGACGCCTAACTCGCTTCGTTCTCTGCTTTGTCATTAGGTCAGTCACTCAGTTGTGTCCGACTCTTTGTGACATTTTGTCATTAACAACCAAACTATTCGAGAAAGGGACCATGGCTTCATCCCAAAGAATCTACTGGGCTCCACCTGGATGAGCCCAAAACATACACACACACACACATACACATACACACACACACACAAAGCAATGAGCCCAACAGGCACCCACACAAGGTCAGTGTTACCTTCGAACATCACGAGCCCTGCTGAAGCAAATGTGCATCACACCCATGTCAAGGTTAAACGCATTTAGTACACATAAGGAAACAACTGGTTTTGAGCATTTGGGACATTAATAAATGTTACATTACTTTTTTCAATAAGATGGAAAAAAAAAAAAAAAACTTGTCTTCCTCTTACTACACTGTGCCAGGCACTCTTTCTGCCCAGTTTCATTTTCCTTGCATCTCCCTGTTGCCCTGACCAGTATAGGGATTTTTTTCGAATGGGAGAGACATCCTGAATTTTTTGTAAGTTTGGATGTACTTCAGAAATATCACCACACTCCTTACTGTGTTGGAAGCTGCCCCCACCTCGGGAAGATGTGGCGACATTAAGATTTCCACCGGCTCTCCCCCGCCACCCACAGCCTCTGGGCTGCACTTCTAATGGGTACTGCCCAGGAGCCTCAAGGAGAGGGTTTACCTTGTTGACATATCTTATTTCCACTCTTGCTGGCATGGAGAAGCCTACTTTGTGGCTGGTGCTCCAGAAAGTGGTAAACAGCTTTAAAGTGGTTGAGAGCCACCTCTTGGATCCACCGCTCCCAGCTTGCAGCGAGTATCCAGCCGGGCTGACCCCGCAGATGCCACTGGTGGACCGGCATCCACCGGTTCAACTCCTACAGGAGGAAGTGAAGACATCTGGCCCTCTTGGCAGTGTCCAGGAGAGTGAGGACAGGTGGGAAAGCATCACTCCCTAAGATGGACAGGACCCCGGTGACCGGATGTGGGGAGGCCCAGCAGCGGTCTAGAACACGTCAGTCGCAGAAACTGATGCCCTGCCCTCATTTCTCCTCTTTTATTCCCATCTTGTGCCTCTCCCAAGGTTCCCTGGAGGAGAAATGACCCCACTGAGAACAGGGCAGCAATAGCAGAAAACAGACCCCAGGTGACTATTTCAAGGGAATTGGAAAAGGTGACATTTTCCATTATGACCCAGTGTGTCGGCTAATAGTCCCCTTTTCTTAACCACAGGCTCTCCCCCGCCACCCGCAGCCTCTGGACTGCACTTCTAATAGGTACAGCGGAGGAGCCTCAAGGAGGGGGTTTATCTCTCCGACACATCTTATTTCCACTCTTGTTGGCATGGGGAAGGCTACTTTGTTTATGTCTGATTCCCGCTGGGCCCCAGCGGAGTCCTGCCTGATGAACTGAAATGGCCAGAAGATTGCTCCCAGCTTGGTCAGCCACCCGGCCACAGGGCGCCTTACGCCAACCCTCCCCACCTCTGTAAGCACATCCTTGCTCCCGCAAGGTGCTTCTGGTCCCCAAGCATCTTGGAGAGGTCCCAGTGGAAGGTGCTTTGTGCAAAGAGCGGTCCCTAAACCCTTGGGCCTGGATAAGAGAAGAAAGGAATCATTGTGTGTAACGCTTTCTCCTACAGAAGCTGGTTTCTAGCACATAGAGCTGGTGAAAGTGAAAAAGTCGCTCAGACGTGTCTGACTCTTGGTGACCCCATGGCCTATATAGTCCATGGAATTCTCCAGGCCAGAATACTGGAGCGGGTAGCCTTTGCATTACACACAATGATTCACCAGGGGATCTTCCCAACCCAGGGATCGAACTCAGGTCTCCCACATTGCAGATGGATTCTTTACCAGGGCAGGGCAGGGCAGTGGGGAGATGGGTGGGGGAGGCAGCTGGTAATATCATGGAAAGCACATGTGTTGGAATCAAGCAGCGTTTGGGTTTTATTCATTCATGCAAGACTCTTATCCAGTGACCACCACGTACTAGGTACTCTTCCAGGTGCTGACAATCTGCCAGTGACTAGCACCAAATGAGGCAAAGTCCTGGTCACGCGGGAGTCACGCTCTCCTGGGACCCAACAGCAAACCAGCAACACTGGGCCAATGACATCACCGCTTGTCTCAGCGCTTCTTAATCTATCAAACAGGACTAACAATGACAGCTGCCTGATGGTTCCGTGGTGCCCTTTGTAACGCGCTACACAGATATTTGTTATCATCACTGATATTTTCACACCCTAGAGCCAAGGAGTGGTACTCTTAAGAGAAGAGAGAGGGACTTCCCTGGTGGTCCACTGGTCTAAGACTCCACACTCCCAATGCAGGCAGCCCAGGTACGATCCCTGGTCAGGGAACTAGATCCCACATGCCGCAACTAAGAGTTTGCATGCTGCAATGAAGATCGAAAATCCCAAGTGCCACAACTAAGATCCAGTGCAGACAAATACATAAATTTTTAAAAATAGATATTTTTAAATGATAATTTTAAAAAAAGGAGAAGAGGAGAGCAACTGTAATATGATGGTCCTGACTCTGGCCAGGGAAGCTCAGCACAGCCTCTTACTGAAACCTTCCCAAGGTCACTTGGGGGCATCTTTTCCCTACTGTCTTTTGTTCTCCACTCCCCGTTATCATCACGTTTGACGCACTGTACAGGTGTTGTTGTTTAATCACTTAGTTTTGTCTGACTCTGCAACACCACGGACTGTATTCTCCAGGCAAGAATACTGGAGTAGGTTGCCATTTTCTTCTCCAGGGGATCTTCCCGACCCAGGGACCGAGCCCTCATCTCCTGCATTGCAGGCAGATTCTTTACCACTGAGGCACCAGCGAAGCCTGTACAGGTGTGGACATTACGATAGTTTCCTATCTGAACAGTCTTGAGCACACACACCCTCTTCTCATCCGACTACTGTTTCCTGGTGCCTAGTATAGTGATGTCACTTCCTAGGTAGTTATGAACTATCAAATTTAGAGGAATAAATTATGAATAAGCAAGAATGAATGTATAAGGAGGCTATGAGTACTACTGCTGCTCTCTGCATTGCATACTTAACATCAGACCCAAAAAGAGGAAAATATGTAGTTTTTTTCTATAGATGACATTGTCCTGTAAGATGATTGCCATCGTCTCAGACCTGCCCATCTCCTCCTGCAAATACGGCCCAAAAGATGGACAGCCTGTCATCTCCTGATGTGTGTCCACTGTCCATTGTAAAATGCTGCCACACCAGGGGAGGTGGATCATCTCTCACGACCTGTATGCCTGATGGATTTGATCAGACCATCTTCCAGGCTGACCTTCTAGAACCAAAAGTCAACAAAGCCCCAGGTTAAGTCACATGAATGGTGCCCTGCTGATCAGGATGGATGCTAGGTCTCTCCCCATTTTCTGGGTACTTGCCCCAGACCTTAGTTCCCCAAAAGTCCTAGGATACAAATTTCATCATCAACTCTCTAGGAAGGACTATGAAATCAGAACCACCTAGTTCTGAATTCAAGCCTTGTCATCCACTAGCTGTCACCAAGCAAATCTTCCTCCCTGAGTCTCACTCAGCTTCTGTCTTTATACAGTGGAGCTGATGATATTTTGATGTTTATTAGGAACATCACAAATATTTGTTAAGATTATTAACTGTTCAATTCATAAATTAAACAACAATGTGTGCCATAATATGTCAGTTTTTAAAAAGCATATCCTCCTTTTTACCTAAAAAAAAAAAAAAAGATATTTTAGGATTCTTAGAATAATACTGCCTATTAAAATTTCATCACTAAGTTTTTGCTTGTTTGTTCGTTTGTTCTGAAGTATAGTTGATTTACAACATCATGTTAGTTTAGTGTACAGCAAAGTGATTCAGTTACATATATATATATATATATATATATATATATATATATATATATTCTTTAACAGATTCTTTTCCCTTATAGGTTATTACAAGATAGTGAGTAGCATTCTCCGTGCTACATAGTACATCCTTGCTGGTAACCCATTTTATATATAGCAGTGTGAGTGACAGTTGCTCAGTCATGTCCGACTCTTGCAACCCCATAGACCAAAGCCTGCCAGGCCCCTCTATCCATGGAATCCTCCAGGCAAGAAGAATGGAGTGGGTTGCCATTTCCTGCTCCAATAGACAGTAGTGTGTGTATGTTAATCCCCAACTCCTAATTTATCCCTTCCCTGCCTTTCCCTTTGGTAACTATAACTTTGTCTACATTTGTGAGTCTATTTCTGTTTTATACATAAGTTCATTTGTATCACTTTTTAGATTACATATATAAGCAGTATCGTATATTTGTTAGGAATATTATGAATATTAAGGAGATAATTCATGTGAAGCACTGAACCTAATGCCTAGTAGGTGCTCAGTAAACGGCAATACTGACATTAACTGCAGGTTACTCTGAGCCAGGCCCAGTTCTCTGGACTCTGCATGAGTTCACTCAGCTAACCCTCCTGACATCTCTCTGGGTAGATCATTTAAATGAGTAAAAAATACAAAATAATAAATACACAGAGGCAGACCTCATTTTCTGTGCTTCATAGATGTTCTGGTTTTTACAAACTGCTGGTTTGTGGCAACCCTGTCAGAAGAAAATCTATCGATACCATTTTTCCAACTGCCTTTGCTCGCTTCATATCTCTGTGTCACATCTGGGTAATTCTCAAAATATTTCACTTTTTTGTTGTTATTACACGTGTCCTGATGGTCTGTGATCCGTGACCTTCGATGTTGCTACTACGACTCGCTGAAGGCTCAGAGGATGGGGAGCACTTTTTAGCAATAAAATATTTTGAAATTAAAGTATGTGCATTGTTTTTTAAGACATAATGCTATTGAGACAAGAGACTACAGTATAAGGGAAATATAACTTTTATTGCACTGGGAAACTTAAAAAAAAATTTGTATGGCTCACTTTATTGTGACATTAGCATTATTACCCTGGCCTAGAGTCAAACCCACAACATCTTTAGGGTGTGCTTGTAATAAATATAATACAAATATAATATCATCATATATGGATAGATAAAAAGATGCTACATAGCCTTCCCAGGCCACTCAGGTGGTAAGGCCTGGGTCGGGATTCAGTCTCCATCCCCCGGACACCACACTGCCCTCTCTGGCTCCTGCTGTTGCTCTTACTGACTCATTACCCCAGTTCCCTAAAAGTGCCTGATTCCACCTCCCACCCCGGTTGCCAAGGGCTGAACATCCGCCTGCTTGCCTTCCCTGGATGGCAGGCAGGGCACATAAGAAGTGCTGGTGTGAAGCCTGGACCTGTGCTTGGCACAGGGCACCTTCAATGAAGAATCGACCTGCCCGTACTGAGAAGCCGAGGACCAGAGCCCAGGCGCCAGAATGAAGGGAGCCATACAGATGGCCTCTGCCCGGAGGGAAGACGGGAGAAGGAAACTCGGGCACTCTGGGGCCTGCAAGGCCTCCAGGTCGAGAGAGGCCAGCAAAGCCAAACTTGGGAAGCCCAGACTTTGATTGACATTCACTTTTAAAGAGACCAGTGATCCAGAGGAGAAGTGTTGCTTAGCTCAGATGGTAAAGAATCTGCCTGCCAAGCAGGAGACCTGGGTTCAATCCCTGGGTCAGGAAGATCCCCTGGCGAAGGGAATGGCAACCCATTCCAGTATTCCTGCCTGGAGAATCCCATGGACAGAGGAGCCTGGAGGGCTGCAGTCCATGGGGTCACAAAGAGTCAGACACGACTGAGCAACTAACACTTTCACTCAAGGTGACAATCTCAGCTTGACTGAGGAATAGAGAGGCAAAGAGAACCAGAGAGAGGGTGCCAACTTCTCCTCTTTCCCTGCAGAGGGCTTCCTGGAAAGACCTGGCCAGCTCCTGGTCCGT